CCGCGAAAAAGTCGGGGAGCAAATTGCGCGGGGGGGAGCGTTCCCCGCATTCCCCGCCGGGGTCCCCGACGGAAACCCCGTTCCCCGACGAACACTAGTTGGAGGTACTGCTACCACCCCATATCTCATTAGAATGTCCCGTAAACGATTATTTTGCGACTGTTCTCGGAGAATGTTCTCCTCAACGCACATTCCAATGTGTCTACGAAACGTCCCACCTGTCCATGGGACTGTCGATGATAGGGCACAGTAGTTATATGTCGAATGCCCGACTTGGCATATAACGACGCAAATTTTTCAGCAGTGAACTGTGTTCCATTGTCGGATACTAATATTTCCGGGAATCCGAATCGACAGAAGATGGTCTTTAGAGCATCAATTGTCTGCTCTGTGGTGATGTGTGGCATACAGAGAGCTTCAGGCCACTTCCAATGAGCATTCACCGGGAACGAAAACATCTCTCCGTTAATTGGACCGGCGAAGTCCACATGTATTTTCCTCCAAGGCGTATCAGCCACCTCCCACGGTCTGATCGTATTTTTTGGAGTGTTCTTCTGCGCATTATTATTATTGATAATGTTGTAGTCCACACCGTTCATTTGAGATCTCTATTGAAATCGTCGTTAGTCAATAACACCGAGAATACAACTGAAGACACAAAGAGTGATGAGCACTGATCTTCGCTTGCCCTAGGATAATAACGGAAAAGCGCTGACTGGAGTTTTGGCAGCGTTTCAAAATGAAACAAGAAGCATGCGGCGCAGGAAATAATCGGATTTATTATCCTCCCTCACATGCTTGAGTAAGGCTCAAGCATATGCGTAGTTTTATGCTGATGCTCCTTCTCAAATTCAAGCTCATACACTTTCCGAATGAACTTGACCAGCTCGCATGGTTCCCTCCTCATCACATTTTTGCGAGTATGCCGTTTTATCTCATCGCGCGCTTCTGCCAAAAATATGGGGAGCGGTTGTCCGAGATTAAGTGTCGTTATGTGGTTTGATGTTTCACTCGATGTTGATTTTGTGAATTTTATTAAACTGCAGCAGTTGGTTGAAACTGTAAAGTACGGTTGATTACTGTTTCAATTTGTTGTTATCAATCTGTTGTAAAGACTGTGATAGGGTAATTTCGCATAGAAATCAACTTTGCAGGTATCATTTTGAAAATTGGTGGTTTTGCCAATCGAAGTAAGTGCTGCTTTGCTGATTTCAAAAACTCATTCCTTCATCAATTGGATGCGTAGTGTCTTTCTGGTGAAGTGGAAGCGCAACGAGCTAAGGTGCTCTAATGCGATTCTGGTCGATGATCAGTGCCGCTCGACAATGGATCTTCAAAGCGATGGTCAAACGGCATCAACTAGTAGCATTTGCGAAGGTACAAAAATTTGATCTTTTGCTGTTAAGGGGCACACGCTCGCACGTGCGTTAGACCAATCCGTGGCGTGTGCTTAGGCTCATGATGAGGCTATCCCTTTCCTCTCTTTCGATGGGCGTTCACATAGATAGACAACAAAATGAGTTTTGCTGTTAAGGGGTGCACCCGTTAATAGCAAAAGCCCCCAAAAATCCACATAAATATATTTTTTTAATTTTGACTTCTTGTTGTGGCTTGAATGTGAAATTTTCTTCAGTATCCGTTTACTCGTTTGTTGAAGTCATCAAAATAACATTGATTGCAGAATTAGTTGAATCCTTTTACGATTATTTGTTCGAATCGGTCCTACTTGTGCCTGTCTTCAAAGTGCATCGCATTGCTAAAATCGCGAAAACATTGGGACCAGCCGCACCTGGTTTGTTTTTGAGTATCACTTTTCAGAGCCGTTCAGTTCTTTGATGTTTCTCACGAATTTGTTTGTTTATGTAGTGGATTTTTAAAATCATCTTATAGCAGTTCGTAGCGTTCGTATTCAGCTGTTTTATTCCAACCTGATATTGTTCAGTGTTAACTGAGGAACAACCACCATCACAAGTAGAAGAGTTCGATATATTTGGAAATGCGAATATATCACAGACAAAGCCACAAAAGAATATGGAAGTGTATTGTGATGAATGTAAGCGTACAATCGCTGCAAGTCGTTTTGCGCCACACTTAGAGAAATGTATGGGTATGGGTCGTAACAGTTCACGGTTTGTTTTGTTTCATTTTGTTACTTCAAAAATTTTAAAAGTTTTATTTGCTGTTTATATCTGTTTATTCATTGTCCATTTAGGAAAAAAACTAATTTTTCACGTCAAATCTTTGTATTTGTAATCGTATCTAATTAATGAATTGAGTAATTTTCTTGCTCTAATGGTAGTGATTGAATGGAAAGCAGTGTTATTGAAATAATTTATTGGAACATATCTTGTAGGGTAGCGAGACGTCGTTTGGCCAACTATGTATGCTCATTAAAGGGCTCTAGTTCAACCGGGCGTTTACGTGACTCAGTTGGACGCGATAGTGATGTGGATCGTTCCGATGTATTTTGATTAGCTGATTCCTAATTTATCGATTTTCTTGTTACAGTCGCAATTCTCATTGAATTATTGTGTTCGTAATATGCTATTTACTTTCTGATGCACAGTTAACCTCCTCAATTCAATGGTCCCATTTTTCGACTGTACCTAGCTGCAGCTTGAATATATCTATAATATTTGACGGTTGTGCTCCAAAATTGACTATTTCCTAATCAAAACTATATTCTAGGAAGATTCTAGACATACGTTACCAGATGATGATGACGATTGGACGAGTAGTAGTCGAAAAACGAGGAAACCCAGAAAAACAAAACTCAGAGGCAAGGCAAGAACCACTCGTTCGCGACTCAATTTAGATAAAGTAATTTATCAGGCTTTTTTTCATCTTTGATCTCGTAATTGTCATATACACGTCTGCGACCTTATTCATGTTTGTTGATGAATTTAAACAGTCGCGTTGTCCTATCAAAAATCGATTCGATGAGCACAAATATATACTTGCAGATGGAAGCTGATGAAGATTCTCGTGGTTCAGTGGAGAGTGCATATGAGCTTCGAAAATGAATTTTTAAGTATCCAAAATTTTTTGTTTATTAGCATTGTACTTACGCGTCATATCAAGGGATGATCTATGTATAATCTAAATGAACTATGTTGATGTCGTATAGTAATTTTTATAATTTTCTTTGTTCATATTATTGTTGTTTTTGTCATTTTCGTTACCTGCTTCCTATCTTTGTCCTCTCCTCATTTTTATTTCATTCGAAGCGATGCATCAACTTTAATGGCTTTCTGGACATGAAGGATTTTGTTACGCGATAAGAGACAAACGATATTAGAAGCTGATACGTGTTGATGACCAATTATTGTATGTTGTTGTAAAAGAATCGAGTTGAGTTCTGTCGCAACATTAAGTTTCGTCTTAAGATAGATGGTCAACGTTCTCTTGAGATAAGTAAAATAAAGGGTCACCGTTCTCTTCAGAAATCGAAAAAGTTCTTCAAGAGAATGCCACGATTTCAGTTTTAAAGAAGTGATAAAGCACTTATCAATTTTTCTTTGATACAACAACAATATTTTCTTTGATCATTATGTTTGCATCTTGTTGAAGTATTCTCTTGCAGAAGTAATAAGCCCCTTACTGTCAATCTCATCTACAAATGTAGCAATATTTTAAAGCTTTTATGCTAAATGAAGTGTGTTATTGTAATTGTTATTTGTTGTTTGTAATGCAATGAAATCATTTCATTACCGGATTCTTATTTCTACGTATCGTCTTTAATTTGTCTGTATTCGATAATAATGCATGGTCGTTTCGTTATTCGTTCATTTGTCTGTTTCACATTGTTATTCACAGCTGGTTGGCTCACTGCATATTTTTTAAAGGTCATCACGCGAATCTTTTTCCAATGCTGTCTTTTTTGCCTTAGTTCTCCATGATTGTTATTACGATTAATTCATTATCTTCGCATTTTTCGTCCAATTTTGCACCGTCGTTATTCAGATTGTGTTTTCTTCTCATCGTTTTTGTGTGAATTTGATTTATAATTTTATTGAATTTTATTGTGAATGAGTTATATATCAATTCAGTTGAGTTTCATTTTTTGGTACATCTCAGTTGTGAAAATTTCACAATATTTGTAATTATGCGTCTGTTTTGTTTGTTCGTTTTTTTTTTTTGTTGTCAATTTATCATGTTGTCCATATATAGTGAAATTATTGCTAATGAATAATGGCAAATAAAATAACATGATCGAACCCATCAGTCAGTTTCAAAGAATGTTTCGCACTTTCGTTCTTTTAGAGAAAAGCAAGAATTTAGAGAGGTTTTTCCGAGAACAAAGACCAGATTAACCAATTTACAAATGAAGGTGGAAGCGTTTTTTGCAAACAAAGGGCGTTTTGAAGAGGATAATTAATTTCTTACTTACAGAGCATTGAAGTATCAGAAATTCAGGTTGGATCTGGGTGGCGGAAAGAGTTGCGAAGGAATTGAGTTGTTTGCGTGTACGGCAATGTTCGTAGTCTCCGAGATGATAGAGTCATCGGTAAGACATTATTGCCCCAAGGGAAAAGCGTGAATAGGTAGTTGTATAATGATATTACGTTGTTGTTCATCTGCTTATAAGAGTTTTAGAAGATTCACTTCTGGGCAATTTATAAGCTTTGTTAGGATGTACTTTGGCTCTACACAACTGAGTTAGTTCATTTTTATGCTCATACTCACACTCTTGCTTAGCATTAACTTTTGAGTTTTTAAAATACATTCGTACGACGTTCAAAGGTAGCACATTTTTGGAGTTAAATGTGATTCAGTGTGGTTCATTTGCTTTTTACCTTCTAGATCAACGATTTTTCACTACTCACTATTCTTGCAATTGTTTATACTTTCGTAATATTCATTTCAGGAAGATGCGATGCAAAATTACTGCCATTTCATCGTTAATGCCTCCAAAAGAGGACTGAATCCATGGACAGCAGCTCATTTGAGTGTATTCGATTTCGTCTGAATGATCCATAGTTTCAGTCAGTGTTAGGAACCGTAAGATTTTTTTGGTTATCCTCGACCGAGAGCTCTGTCGGCGGCTACCGCAGGAAGTTTTTGGGCGTCGGTCGTTTGTCGATTGGTGGTAACCGAAGTTCGGTTTGGTGAGGCCGCCGACTGAACAAGCCCTTTTGGTTGCGGTCCATGGCCACTAAAAATCGGTCTGTAATTACCGACCGAATTTTTGGGGGCCCTCGCGATTCACGGACCCAACTCTAGTTTCAGTTACAATAACTGCAGAGATTTGTAACTGTATTATTGGCTTCATCGAACAATAAATAATTTATGATCACCATTATAGTTATTGCTATTATCGTTGCTATTGTCATCATTGTTATCGTTATTGTTATTATTATTATCATTATTGTGGTTGGCCATTGTAAATTATGAGATTAATTTTATTCATAATCGAGTATCGAATAATTTCAACGAATCGCAAAGCAGTGTGTTGTTTTTGCACATTTCAACAAATTCGTGCCTTGTAATTATTCCGTCGTTGTTTTTATCCATTTTCTGAAAAATTAAACACAAAAAAACCAAACAATAAACTGAGTTTTCGAATTGAACAACAGATTATTACCATCAATAAGTTTGATTATCGCACCTCATTAAAGATGTGATTTTCAAATGTTCCAGTAATTTTGAAGAACAATAAAATGAATCCCTAGCAAACACTGACGACATACCTTGAAAACATCGATAACGTGCTCAATAATCGCACGGCGATTAAACGGTGGATTTGTGTGTTTACCCAATAACTCATAAATTGATTGAACGACAAGCATTAACTCGGATTGTTCTATGCAACCACGCTTGTTAATATCGTATAAATCAAAAATCCATTCAAGTTTCTCTGTATTCGTACCGCGTGAGATCACCGAAAGACCAACCACAAATTCCTGATCAACGAATAACTACTATATGATGGTTTCGAATGGTACAATTCAAAACAAAATTGACTGGTGAATAGATGAGAGAGAACGAACGAAATGTGACGAGAAACATTCAATTGAAAACCTCGTGGAAAATAAGTAAATATGTTTGTTCAAGAAATTACAGTCACAATTCGTTTGGTAGTGAAGTGAAGATGAATCTCATAAAAGCCACCTCAAAACTAATAATTCCATCGTCATCGCGATCGAATGTCTTAAAAACGTATTCGGCATATTTCGACGAACTACCTCGTGGAAAGAACTGAGCATAGATCTCTTGGAATTGATCTAGCATGATGGTGCCACATGGACAACCCTTCAATCAATTACCTTATCATTAAATTTTACATCAAAACACCATTCAATGTGGTCCCTTTTTTGCAAACCACGCTTACTAAGGCTTGAGAAAATGAATCCGTCACATGTTTCTTCATCCAATAAAAATCTCGTAGAAAAGTTCATATTACTACCACAACTATCAAACGATGATGATAATGATAACAAAGATACATTTTAATAAATCTTTCAACGATACAGTCAACTAGCTAAGCAATCTTATGTTCGAAAAAAAAACAAATAGCATGAAAAAACCTGCTTGAATGCTCTGTACATAATTTGTACTTCACGCTTGGTAAACTTGGTAATTGAACATATTTTCGCAATACTCTGTGGACGATACCGTGGTGTTGGAGGTCGTTCATCGTCTGGATCATCTGAAAAAGATGTGGAACCGAATCATTCAGTGACTCAAAAGATTATTCGATGATACGATTGATATCAGGATGATGAGACAAGCACTCACTGCAGTACTTTTTAACTTATGAAAACTTGGCTGACTTACATGTGGTTCTTTTGAACGTTCAATTCAATGATAAGAAACTAGTACACCAAGCAATTTTAATTAGTAGCCCAATAATTTTTATCAATTTCATGTTCTCAACACAACCACATCAAATATAAGTACAACAAGAAGGTTCATTTGATAAATAACTACTCAAATTGTTTTCACTTCTTGTCAATGCTACAATGAAATCATCCGGATATTATCTACTCCTTCACCACACTTAATCAGAACCATTCCAAATTCATAAGAGTATCGCAACAAAAGTGTTTTGGAATCGATGAAAAGAGATGGGCGAACAACTATGTGCATGTGTAATGTGCTCACATGTATACCCATGTTCACTCGCCCCTATCAACATCCTATATTGTCTTTCTGGAAATAATTTTAACTTATCCATCTATCATTTAACGACATTCAGATATTTGTTTTTGCTAGAACGATGGTACTTGGAGGCGTATGATCGACGTATATTGAGCAAATAGTAAAAATAACAAACAACAAGTATGACATAATCGAGATCGAAGATAAATGAAAGGAAGGGACGAAACTTTTTTTGCGCCAAAGCGATTCATTTTCTGCTTCATGTTATTCGTCATTTCGATTGAATGGAATCAAATCTTTTGCAATAATCTGTTATTTTGGAACAAATAAGTAAAGTGTACCCGTTCAATATGCTCAAAATAGCGATTAACAGCAAAAACATTTCTAGCAAGTAAAAAATTGAATAAAAGCAAAAAATATTTACGATTGTTGTGTGATGGAATTAACTCGTAAATTCAGTAATGAATGCAAAAAATATTCGAAACTAACTGTAAAAAGATGCTGTGTATGAATACGGGTCTTCGTTGATTGGTATAGCCATTCGAATAAGTTGATGATGATATTGAAAGATAATCAAATTCGGATGTCAATACTGTTGATAGAAATGGAAACAGCAGTAGCAGCAGCAGCAGTAGCAATAGTAATAAAGATGATATATAGATAATCAACGAAGATTTAGTAATTGTATCATTCATAGCCAAGTGCTGTGATATCTTTTGAAATATTCATCCAACTTTGCACACACATCGATTATTCGTGGTCATTGAATTGATAGAGCTTGAAGTAAGTGAATGATTGATTGTTGCAGTGGTGATTGTTATATGACGACTAATGCAATTCAACTGCAATTTTTCAATTACGTAAAAATACAATTAGATCAGATGTGATGATATAGATACAGATGTGATATGTATTTATCTCGCATACACACACACACAAACTTGAACAGCAGCTAAGCCTTCAAAATTGAGATGGGATATGGCCTAGCGCATGCGACCACCACCGAAAATGATATTGGTGTTTGCAACTGATGTGAGCTTGTCGTATACCTACCTAATCATTTCATCGTTATTAATACTGATATTGTTTTTTACTGCTGCCGTATTATCGCCGTTATTCGTCTCGATTAAATTAGATCTGTTCACACTTAGCTAGCATTCAATGTTCAGCAAAAAGATATCCTCAAAATTATCGGATCAATAGACTGAAATATTTCGAATTCGTTATGAGATGATCACTACTTTCATCCATCTCTCCAATATGAAGTCTACAATGAATAAGTTGAATGAATCGAATAAGATAAGCTCAGCGAGCCATTGTCATCACCATGGTAATGCAGCGTACAAGATCAATTCATGGACGGTGTAGCTTCTCGAAGTTGTGCGTACTGAGGACATAAACGAAAACTCAGAAACAGTGAATACTAATAAGCAAGAGGACCTGATCATAATGATAATAACTCAGTAATAAAGCAGCGAAACAGAAGCAAGATCACAAATGCATGAATAGTCGATGATTCGTACAAAATTACGAATAATGCGATCGTTCATGATTGCATGTCGTTTCAGTGAAAAGCAACAAATAAATGAATGATTACATATATTCACATACAAAAATTAAAGCAGATTAGTTATGAACAACTCAAACGAACATATAGATGTCCTTCCAGCAACATTTACTATGTGCGTTTCGAAGATTAATCTGTTGTTGACTGAATGGTGATGTCGAAAATTACTTCATTTCTATCAAAACTTATTCACTTTCTTCAAATTAAATGCAAACGAGTAAGCGATGAAAAATAACAAATGATAGGAGCAGTGAAACGAATGTGAATATGAGCAACGAATCAATCGCAGGCATTTTTCTCAAGTGAAAGAAATGGCCTCTAGAGGAAATGAATTCCTTCAAATAGCTTGATCCCTTCAGCACAAAAAATTGAAGCCTTTTGGCTATAATTTTTCACCCAGAAGAAAGAAAAAAGATTTCAGTTCTCCGAATTGATGAGCATTTTTGATATGAACACTTGCTGCACCACTCTATATTGCCAATCGATCATCGTCGTTGTTATCGTTTACACAGTGGCTGATCGAACTCGTGATCTAAGTTGACGTGAGCAGCCAAATTAAGTTGCTGTATAAGCGAGAGAGGATGGAGTTTGATGGATATAAGTTAGGCACCTTTTTTTTCGTTTTACTTCACTGCTATCATCGAGTGGATATTTGTGGAACAATGATCATTTGAAACCAATTGTTCATTTAATTCGATTTGTCTAAGAATTGAAATGTTCGTTGGACATTAACTCGTCTTACTTATTGTTTATCACAAATATTGCCATCACAAATTTATCAACAACAACTTGCGAAAAACTTAACACATATACCAATGCACAGCAATATGCAGCACCTTTTGATAGGCAACTAGCAAAATAATAAAACATTGAACCATTATTACGCTTCAGAAACACTGACTAGTATTTGAGTAGAAAACACTGGCTGTATGGGATGAATACTAGATGGACGGATGATTAGATGAATGGATGTTCATATAGAAAGTGGTGGTAGTAGATGTATAAAGTATAATATGGCATTTTATGTGTATGAATATGAAAATGAATATAAATGTAATGTCTCATTGTTCACATAAGCAAGCAACGATTATCGAGAGCAAGTTGAAGTTGAATAAGCGATATGAAGCAAAAAGAACAGTAACGATTTCATGAGTGAGTGCATTAGCCTATTATTACTCACAAAGAAGTGATGCGTCAAAACGATTGATGATGAGATGCCAATTGAACAATGCTAAGCTCGATCACCAAGAAATGCATAATTATTCGAAGCAATTGAATCCTATTCTAAATGGTACATTTCCATCTAACCTCCAAAATTCCAGTTGACACGTCACATAAACTATTGTGGATCCAACTGAACTACTATCGAACTGAAGTGTATCAAAGCAGACATGCACAAAGTATACATAACACCATTCAAGCATTAAACATGTATAATTCTTTGCTACGCTATACGAACCATTTATTTGTAAGCAATAAATTTTTTATCATGAATAGATTAATAGCAGTAAGTCAAAGCATATTATTTAAAAAAGCAGGAAAGTATCACATTTGTACTGGACGCAAACAACAAAAGCTACCCAGTAAAAAGATTTGGTCGATTAATGCTGTGTTTCTCATAAGAAGAATTTGATAGTGACGCATGGAACACTGAGGAGTTTGACAAGTCATTGACTTTTTTAAAATTGTTCGATAATGTTTTCAAAATGCTTATTTGATCAGCAATGAATTCTGATATTTTCCTATGATAAGCAATGATCTTTCTGAGCAATGGATCAATTCCTTGATCTTTCTCCAATTTTTCATGAAGAAGTTTTTCATGCTATCATCACCATCATCGATAAGTGTGAATATGTATACACATATAAATAAATGTACATGTATAGTTGATTCATAAATAAATTATGTAATAAAGGAACAAACAGTTGAATAAATGAGTGAATCATAAATAAATGAATGCAATGAATAAATTAACGACTTAATATGAAGTTCTATGTAAAGTAACAAATTTAGAATGAAGGCAAAACGTGGGAGTAGCAATTTGCAGTTTAAAGTTATGCTGCACATTTCCAGACACAAATTGCTAATTTACCACCAAAGAATAAATAAAGTAACGTTTCTGGATCGTGACTGAGTTCCAATCCAAACTGCTCACCTACAAATAGACAGATTACTGTTCATTTGATCATTATTCAATGAATTCGGTGTTTCTTAAAGGAATAAATATAACAGTAAAGGATAAGTGAGTTGTTATGGAAGGGAATTTGTTTTTATTAAGGGATCATCTTAGAATGTGAACTTAAATAACAGACGAAAGCAACGAACCAACTACCGCATGCCATACTCCTCCGTAACGTTCATCCAGGGATTCCTTGATAGCACGTGCAGCACTCTACAATAAATTACATCTAGATACATGTATTTTTCCTCCCATCTTTATCACTATCATTTTTAATTATATTACGCCATATCATAAACAGTTAAATCAATGATCAAATGAAAATTGAATCGACCTCTCCCTATATTCAACAAATGCATCATATTTTGAATAAAAAATCATCAATCCTTCTTTTTCGGATGCCGTTCTTTCATTGTTTTATCGATAAGAGTACAGCAATTATTTTGCTTAAGTATCTTTACTGCTCTGTATCCAGCAGATAAGCAACATCATTTAACTTATGTGGCCGACAAGGAATACGACAAATTGATTTCCTCGGAGATGATCGATCACTAATAAAAATTTTCGAACTGGTCATTTAAGTTATATACTAATAGCCACATTTATTTATGAATATTTCACATTGATTCAACAACAGTTGATGAGTGCACCTGATTACAGTCAGTGTTTCCTTCACATGCTTTCACCACGATTTGGATGGCTTCTTTACGCATCTCCTCATCCATATCACATCTCTGAGCAATTTATCATTTGTTTCTCGTGCTCGAATGATGTTCAAAGAACAATTCTTTGGTTCATCGAATTAAATGCTTTTGCAATTCAAGAAGTGGGAAAAACCACAAAAATAACTTTGACTCATGATTTTTCATGTATATTCATACATGGGTTCGACTGGATAAATAAGGTAAAAAATAATTCGAATGTGTGAGAACGATAGTCTGATGAAGACAGAAGCGGATTGCCGACGACATACCCTAACAAGAGGATATGTGAATAATCGCTTAAATGCACCAGCACGTTCTTTACCGGGACTAGAACCATTTTGTGCGGAATCGGTGGCTGATGATAGCGACGACATCAATAACAGTCGTTGAACGAGTGCCTTACTCATTGGGAAGGAATGGCAAGCAGCGATAACCGGAATCAAGAAGAGAGTTAAAAGGTGCTGCAAGAATAAAAACGAATTTATTGTCCTAAAATCAGTACAAGATGCTAGTGAAATGGATCATAAATACGTCGATTATCGCAGGAGTTTCATAGTTCGAACATTCAGTGGAACGCAAATCTATGAAGTCTGTAGAATGAATGTTGCATGAAAAATAAAACCATTCGACAATCTGTCAATAAAACCTTATCCATTTAGCTACTTCCGAGGCAGAAATTCTTTGCTGAAATACCGATCATATATTCGAATGCTACCATATTATTTTTTATTACTTATTGATTTATTTGAGTATTCATATTCAAATATGGTATAATAATAATTGAGATGAATGAATATAGTTTAGTTTGTGGTTGTGAAGAAAGGAATGAAATTACGCATGTGCATGAATGAAGCATGAAAAGAATGAATTCGAGGATGCGGCTTATTGCTAATCGTTGGTTGAATGAGTTGAAGTGAACTGACGTGATGTGAATGCTCCTATTTCTTAGATCAAATGAGTGAATGAATGATGCTCCACATGTCCATTTGTTTTCGGTTTAATTCCATTGTTATTGCTTATGCCGAAAATAGTAGTGGTAGTGAGGGTAGCCGTAAAGAGATGCATGCATCGTATATCTCGAAAGCAGTAACTGGCATGTGCCTAGGTTTGGCCAATTTAACAAACGAACAAACTAACAAGCATTCTTCTTCGATAAGCAGCAGCGAGGGCACTGGTAATCTTATTGTGAACGAGGTCGTCTTCGTCTTTTTCTTCATTTGCTGTCGGTCGGTCGATCATGTCATGTCATGCGATGAAAAGCGAATGAGATTTTCTTCATTCAGTACATTGTGATACGATGAATGGTTCGTGATGAGCCAAATGTGGCTTGATGAACGAAGTGCTCATAACTGTATTCTTACGCAGACACACTGAAAGCAAAAACGAAACAGCCAGCTGTATGATCACTGATAAAAGTTTCGATATTTCATTTCTTCTTTTGATTAAGCTGACCAGATACGAATGTTTTGAACAGCTGACTACTTTAAGCATATATGAGTATGGATTGACGATTACTATTCAGCGAGGAACGGGGTCCCCGAAGGGAGTCGATTCCTCGAGTTTTTGGTCGGGGTCCTCCCCCCCCCCCCCCCCCCCCCCCCCCCTCCCTAGACGAATTCCTCTGGTCAGTTCGCTCCCCGACTTTTAGCGTATTCCCTCCGACCACTTTGCCCCCCGACGAAATCCTCCGCGGCCAAAAAGCTGCTACCCGACAAGCACTGTTCAAGACTACGTACCATGCGTAAATGGAAGACTGAGTAATAAGATTTGTAAGAAAAAAACGGATTAACTTTGCATGAAGCGATGATGATATTGCAACGTTTCGGGTTCGCATTACCCTAATGTAAGTGAGATTTACTCGGATTTGAAGGCTTATTCATAATTAGTTAATTCATTCAGATTCAACTGTCTTAGGTCACGCGGTTGTTTTTATGTAGGTAAGCTGATGCGTTCATGTTTATCATACTGACTGACTTTGAATAAGTGTGTGGGTCAGTGATTGTTATTAATAATTGTTGTTGTATGATCAGTTGACGTACATAACAAGAAACAAGTGCATTCGCATTCGCATAAAACATCGGTCATAGAATAATGCACAACACAACATTGCAAGCACATCAATTCACTTCATGCATACAAACACACATACATATACACATACATGATCGAGCGACAAAATGCAGAATCGTTGAAATATTTCCGTATATTTATTTCATTCTCTTGTAATCATCATTCATGAACAGTTATTAGTCATTCTTCGTTGTTGCATTCATCTGTGTCCATCTAGGTCGTTTATAATCATCAAATTTCTTCGTTTATCGGATTGGGTTGAGTCTGATCGGTTTGGGTCGTGACGTATCTGTTGAAAGTAGGCTTTATGGGGGTGAGTGCTGTTTTGTTGCAGATGATTAGTTGAATTTTTGCAACACACAACAACTTTTGAGAACGATCTTCACCGAATTGATTTTTTAAATCGATTCTGGAACAATTTTCTGCATTGATCCTACATGTGTGACTCGTTTCTCTTCAGCATTGACCGTTAGCGTACTATGATGTCGTGCAGCATTTGTTTCGTCATCATCATCACGTATTCGAACAGAGCTGACGAAAGGTACTCCAAAGTAGCTTGATGCGAGCTTATGGTCACTCAACTTGTTATGAAAAATCAGCAGGACGGAACAGATAAAAATCAGTATCGCACAGATCAGTTGTGATAACCAGCCAAAATTCTCACCCTTCGAAAGTGTCAGTGCAAAAATTTGGTTTCTCAGGAATGCAGATAGGAGATAATAAAAGACATAGACACAATAGGAGAATTCTAGTTGCGAATCTGGAGCTGACACCATTGATTAAGTGAAAATTTGTAAACTATAAGTAACTAAGGACAACCACTAAAAAATTTATTGAGTTCACCACTGAGGTGCACTGGTACCAAAAGCTGAAACGCGAAATAACTCAGAAACTACGAAGGTACGTCGAAATGAATATGATTTTTGCACTTAACGCCGAAATATACCCCATAAGTCGTTGGAAAATCTAATCAACAAAAATCAGTGTTGCGTAATTTCGCTACTTGGTATGTTCTCTTATTTGCCTCAAGATGCTTAAATTCGTTTGATACTCATCCTTAGCAATAAGTCATTCATTCGAAGCGCAAGTAATCTCTTACTCTTTTCTTTTTTTATTATCATCACCTTTTTTCAACACACATCTATCTCACTCAGATTATTTGCACCGCCAGTGTAATACGACAGATTACCTCAGTAAATATTACCATAAAGAAACATCGAGTATGTCTAGTATCTATCGGTGAAAAGAACATTCTATGTATTATGCATCTCATCTCATCCTATCCCTCCATTCGTGTACTCTGTTCATCATCTAACATAGATATTCATTCTATCCATTCATTTGTACTAGACATAAACCAAACAAAGTATTCTCATCGTTCCCGTGCAACCATCAACTCAGCAACCCCAACAAAGCAAACAACATCTTTATTCAGTCGTTCATCTTTACACTCTTCACATCTCCTCTCAAATTCTGTATCGTTACATGTGATTTTAATCTATGAAAATTCTTTGAGATTTGTTTTAATTGTGAACTTTATTGTTGTTACTTCGCTCGTTCGTTAGCATAGTTTATATGCATCACAGTCCAATAATAAATTTCGTGCGATCTTTTCTTACTACCTCATTCGATGTGTGCAACCATATGTATCAACTGAAATCATGCAACTGATATTGTTGTTGATTGTTATCACTCGTCATCAGTGTCGCCGTCCTTTTGTTTGCATTCTTCAAGACCTTTTCTTCTTCTTTCGTTTATTTCTTATTCACAATAGCCTTTATTTTGATGTGTGTATGTGATCAAAACTGGTTTCAAGAACTTATTCAAAAATACCTCCTTTCACGAATCCATATACACGTGTGGTCATTCGAGCAAATTCGCTTTCCTTTTCGTCTTTGTTTGTCATAAATATTGTTATTGATACTATCATTATTGTCATTGTTATCAGAAATGTTATGCGTATTTGAGTTGTCATTATCATTACTGCTGAATTCGTACTAATCAGTCAGAAGGTCGTCAATCGATCACTGCTCAGTGTTCATATTACAGCAGCATGAATAATAATTTTCGTTGAAAAACCCATTCGATTCAACTTTCCGTTAACTGTAAATGCTCATTTCAGTAATAGCGAGCTGGCCGGCATCTGTAGGTGGAAGTTGCAAAAAAGGTGGTGAACATAAATGAAGAGGATAAACTGCTGATAAAATTTAATGATGGAAGTGAAAGTTAGTGTGGGTGGTGTTGAGCGAAGCGTTTCAGGACTCACCGAAACCACCACATGTGCGCAAATCATTTATGCTCTTGCGCATGCGACCGGTCAGAAGGGACGTTTCGTTATGGTTGAGAGACATCGTGATTTTGTATGTTAGCAATTGACAACATTTTTTTTGAATTCCTTGATAAAAGCGTTTGAGAATTGTCGATGTTCACAAGCAGAGGTGGTGATTCGTTTGAATGCTGAACGCAACTAAAACTGATATGTGTTCTTGCTGATCGTATCGCGATTAGTTTAACAAGATGAGATGACCTCACGACCCCTATTGAAAAGCTGTAATTACATTTCAAGATCACTTCTCATTTCATCCAAGGAAACTTTGTTGTTCAAGGAACGAACTTTGGCACCGACTGATCGCCCAATAGAAATGATGCGAAAACGGGATCAACATTCACCCAATGTTAGCTTCATTCTGAAACATCTTGATAGCGCACCGTCAGTTCTACCGTTGACTTCGTCTTCTTCGTGTTCACCGTCCTCATCTGATCTTCATCAAAAGATTCAGAATCCACACACATCGTCAATTATCAATGACACTTCTAAAACAAATGCTTCCGTACAAGCATCGTCATCAAATGAAACCAATCACTTTGATGCTTTAATAGTTCGTTATCATTCATCACTTGATTGCTCCTTGTAATGCTCAGAATTTCTCACTTCATAACTGATCGATTTCATTCAGTTAACAAGCGAGCAACAGAACAACAGCTGTTCTGGCCAAGTATTACAGCCATTCACCGAATCAACACTTGCTCAGCATCCAAAACAACATGCACTGATCACAAATGGAGATTATTCAACGCGATGCTCCACTGGTTTATTATTTGAAAGCGTTCCGCTTCCATCGCAGTTTTCGTTGGCTTCTGAGTCTAAACCTTCAGCATCGCAGCGTATCGTCAGCAGTTCATCTACCGGATGCATCACCAATGTTTTATCGGCACCAGGTGATAGTGAATAAACAAGTCACCGTTTTCTTCGTTGAGCTGTTGGAGATGAGATCACTATGAAACCAAAACTGAATAGCAACAAAACAATAAATTTGCTGCTATCTGTAATTGGTTTTCGTAAAAATTTGAACATATGCACACAGAATTTCAAAAGAAATGCACACAGCGATGTTGTTTGGTGGAATGATTACCGAATGTTAATTGTTCAGATGCTATACATCACTGTTGTGACGCCAGTTCTTCAGGAGCACATCCGTCATGGCAAACACAACCACTGTATCACCATCAAACCCAAAGTGCATCGTTCATTGGTGCTACAACAGCGAACAGTTCACAAATAGGCTCATTAAAAAATAGTAGACCACCTCCACCAGGTAAATGATGTGATTTGATTTAATATGCATCATTCGTTTTTTATTCTGATTCATTCATTTACGTTTTCGTCCATTGATTTACTTGCATTCGTTTTTAATTGAACATTTGAATTTCATTGCTTGTAGCCTATCATGAAGTGATTGAAAGGCGCTACAATTCACTTACTCGAGGAGGCACAACAACGAACACTTCATCATTGCTGAGGAATAGTCGAAATATTGCATTCCGACCACCACCAGATCATCGCATTCCCAGTGACACAACAGACTCATCTTTGTAATGTTATTAGTTTTCCACAATTTTAACTTCCTAAATCCACGTATTTCTTTGTGGTCTTAGCGATATTCAGCTTGTTCCAATAAATTTCGTCAATTTAATTCAGTGAGTCGAACAGATCTCTCACGCATATTTTGGCGAGGTTTTGAATAGTTTCGCATAAGTATTACCAAGAAATTTGATTCAGTATTCAATTAAATGTTGCTGAATTAAAAGATCAATTCAATTCAGGTTGACCTATCCACAGAAATTGTCTTCATCTTCGACTTACAGCGGAATCACTGAGCTCGCTCAAGAGGGTTAGTAGCTTTCTTGTAACACGTCTGTCGATACACCCATTAGCTCGGCCTGATCTATTTGTAGTTTCATGTATTTTTATAGACATTTCTCTGTGAAACTGGCGATTACAAAAAAATTTTAAGTAAAATCTGAATCAAATGAATGTATCTTCGCTTCTGTTCCTATTGAGATAAATATCAATTGAGACATTTTCAGGCTACGCGTGCCATTCCTTCTTCGGACAGTTGAATTCGGAACAAAAAAATTAAAACACACCTTAATTAATTGTGTTCGTTTCACTTTATTAGATGTATTTTAGTGAATTTAACAAGCGCTGATCTCGAAAGACTTATTCTCAATCAGCAACGTACCATCGACGAGCAAAAGTCTCATTTAGCACAGCTCGACATTGCCATTCACGATGATCATTTGCGCGAAATCATTCAGGTTTACTCACTTACAGTCTTCATGTATTGATTTGTATTTGTCATGATGCATATGCGTATGTATATGATGGTTTTGTTGCAGTTGGAAAGGCAGCAAGCCAATCTGCGATTGATACTGAATCCATTGAGATCTGTGGATTGGCCCAGTCGTCTTCATGCCGAGAAGTTGAGAACTGAACAGGTACAGGTGGCGATTGTCGAGCTGCAGCGCAAAATCGATTCAATCGCATGGTTTGTGCATTCATCTTCTTTCAGAGCATCTTTCATGAAGTGTTTCTTTTTGGATATCTGCTATTTGAATCAAACATTCTATCGTGTCACAATGGAAGAAACGCCGAAAGTGTACTGGATGAATTTTTTTTTGGTATTTCAGTGAGATACGTGAAAAGGCAATGATTGAGATGAAAATCAACGAACAGATCGAGTTGATTCAACGTGAAATTTGTAATTTGGAATCGACTCACTGCAATACAAAAGTGAATAATAATGGAAATGGAAGTGAGAAAGGCGATTATCATTATTTTGTCAGTAATAATAGTAATAATAATCCTGAAAATGATATCGTCAATGATGATAGTCAAGAAGAGGATAATAATAACGAGGACGATACTGTGCAGCTTGAATTGCTGGAATGAACCATCAACATATATAAACTAAAAAAATACTTCACAGTTTGATCAAACTCTTCTTTATTTAGTTCTATTTATTACTTTTTGTGCAAATGCTTACAAATAGTAGATATTATTAATGGTAATGAATCGTTATTGTTATGCAATTTTTTGAAGTCACCGTGTGTTGAGCTATATTCATTGTAATCATTTATTCATTAATCTGCATTTGACGATATGCTATTGTATTTATTATTCTCACTTCAACGTGTCATCATGTTTGTAAGTTTCTCTTTATTTTTCACTGTTTTGAATGTAGCTGGGGGATTTTTCCCTGCTTATTGGAATAAAAATATTCAAATCTTCGGTTTCTAGAATTTTTATCAAAACAAACAGAATCTACTAATTACCGGCTTCATTGCAATTGAAATCATCAGTGCGTCTCACAATCCAAACATTGAGTTATGAACACTTCTGTGAACAAACTGATGAACACCTCTTCAACTTTAAATTCCTCACGGAGAAGATTATAATTTAGATAGATGAGATCGCGTTCTAGCCAAAAATAAAGTGCCGAATTCTTCGTTAAAAAATATCAGCTCATTGACGACGTGAAGTTGGTAAGTATAGAAAACCATGAAGGTATCCGATTATGAATGAGCAACGAGGTTAACAGATCCCAAAGCATCAATTTCCCACTAAAACAATGTACGCTTCTTCCATGATAGCTTAGAAGCCGTTCCATCTTACGCTATAAAAGAATTATTGAGTATTTACTAAACTTGACAACAAATATGGTTTGAATATGATACGCAATATATTCTCACCCTCCCCACCTTCAAGAAAGAGTTTTAAAAACGAGGCCAAATCTCTGAAATTATGCATTTGCAAAATACCATATTCCATTGATAACCATAATTTGACACCTAAACTCTACATAACAGTGTTAATTAACGATAGACTAGTACAGCAATATCAGATATGTCATTTTCAAGCGACCTGAACGCTCAGGTTTCTTCACCAACCGAATGATTTCTTCGAGGCGTTGGGTGAAACAGATTCTCTATTATCATACAAGAATACATTAAAGAAAAAGCTAAAGTTTTAATGGTATGTCATACAGCTGAGCGAATTTATGATAACACTAATAACCATTATTTGACAGTTTATGCTAGTGTTTCTCATGTTGTTGTACCTCATGCTCCCGTTTGGCCATGTTTGGTTCCTTAAATAATCCAGGTCACCACATTTCACTCCACTGCCTCACAACCCATTATATGTTGGTGTTGACTTGAGAATGAAACTTAAAAAATTGTCCCATGATCAAAAACTTTCACTGGTCATAGTGATACGATTAAGGCCGATAAAGAAACATTATTATTTTGCTGCAGAAGAACCTAACATTGGTACAAACCTTGATGACTAAAGCGTTCAATTACACGTCGACCTATGATTACGCACGCTGGCTCTGTCCATGCGTTATGGCGAAGTGCAACGACGACTTCGTTGAGAAAATGGTAAAAACATTGAGGTTGTCCGAAATTATATCGCCAACTGATGCTTGATGAGATTGCTCATGAAGTTCAGATCTCTGGTTGTTTGGCTTTCTCCATTCGAAATAAATATGTCCATCTCAGAGATTTTCCTGCTCGATGAATCAGCAAAAGCCTTCCAAATTAACAGATTTCCTCCGGCTTCAAAATTTGATTACATTCAGCGGTATTCAATGGATAGACCAATCTCTCTCTAACGCAATTGCACGCCCATTATTATGTCCGTTACCTGCTGTCTGTCTCTGGGAGAGTCAGTGATGCAGAGGAATGAATGAGTGGTCATCTAATTGATATGTTGATGCGTTGAAGAAGTATTGAATGGTTGTTTTTGACTTTTTAAAGATTTTTTTCTTTTGTTGCTATGTTAATTGTTCAGTAGAGTGTATTGAAGATTATTGCTCATCCACAGTTTCTGAATTCGAACAATCGATGACACAAATCAATACTGACTCCATTATGCTTATCTCATTATATCCGTCTTAGGAATTATGTGCTTACTAACGATAAGTCGTTGCAACAGTAGCACACCAGTTGCACGATCTGTTATCGTAGTGATGAAGAAATCTTTTAAAACGTAAGCAATATCTAAAAACTGGTTGAATAGCTTGTGGCTCAGCGCCTTCCGAATGCAAAGATTTAACCAAACACTCAGCAGCTGAGCATAGCTAAATCGTAAGCAACCCGGCTACACGTTAGCCTTGTTTTTCGCTTGATTTCCTTATAATTTGTCAATTCAGCTTCTACCATAAATCCGCAAATTTATCTGCAATTTTTGATTGTTAGGTGTGCTTTATATGAATAACGGGAACAGCGCTCCGGACACTGCAGCCGGAGGGAAGACGCTGGAACTAACTGATTATGACCTGGTGTGTTTTTGTTCAAATTTTTTTCAGTTTTTTTCAGTCGTTGATGCTTCAATTTGATTACTTTTTTATGCCGAGTTTATTTGAAAAACGTTTCTGAAAACGAATCCGAATACATTTGAATTTGTTGCAGTTAAACTAAGTTCTTTACGCATCCAAACATTGTTTGACTGTATGGTCTTCATGAACTTAAAAGTTTTTGTTTTTGCTTTCGTACTGATCTGTAGTGACTTACTTTTAGCAAAGACGTGCACATAAAGCAATCACCGATTCATCAGAAATTCGCATAAGCACACGACTTCTGTCTGCAGAACTATGTTGTCCAATCTGTTTGGATCTTTTAACGACAACAATGACCACAAAAGTAAATCGATTGATTGCCACTCTCTTAATATTTATTTTCATGATTATGCTTTGAACTAATTCGGATCAGCTCATTTCAATGCTTCTTTGAATTGCAGGATTTGTTTTCGAATTATCATCCTTTAAGTTTATTTTTAATTATGACGATTTTAAAACTAAGTGTAATTATTATTTAAAGGAATGCTTACATCGTTTCTGTAGTGAATGCATTACAACGGCATTGCTACGAGGTAATAAAGAATGTCCGACTTGCCGAAAAAAACTTGTCTCGAAACGTTCACTCCGTCCGGATCCAAATTTTGATGCACTTATCAACAAAGTAGTCTTTTTTCTCTTGTCCGTTTTCTCTTCTTTGCGTCCATTTGCAACAGCTATGAATTCTTTGGATTCTTCTCATAATTTTAAAGAATCCTTGATTTGTTTCTTTCGTATTTTGAAGTGGAAATCAGTTGATTGTTCTCCGTCTCCATCGTACTTTCCTATCATCATGAGATTTTTCAAGTGAAGGGTGAATGAGAAGTCACCTGTTGTCATGTTGTTAGTGCTCTTGGAGAGTAGATTTGTGGATCACTTTCAGATTTGGCCTGATCGACAAATCTATGAACAAATGCAGCAAAAAGCAATGGATATGTTTCATCAGCAATGTAACGTTGAAGCACTTCAAAAGAGTATCGAAGCTGGTATGAAGGCGCAAGCAGCAAATCGAAGACAACGTGTTCAAGGCTCATATGATTATGAAAGTTCGTTTCTTCCATTGCCGCACCTTCATTTCTCGACTCGTTCATTTTCATTCTCTAACGCATACGGATCATAAGAAATGAGCTTGGATTGCATTCTTTTTGTATGTGGAGTAGAAATTTGATGTACCTTTTGTAATTTATTAATCAATTTTTTCAAAGCAAGCAATCTTGTTTGTTGTATTCATATTTTTGAAGGGAGGAAACGACGGCCAAGAGCTGAAAATCAAGATCGATCAAACAATAATACACCGGATAGTAATTCAAATTCACCAGAAGGCAGTGGAGAAGGTGACTTGGATGTAGCTGATCAGTGTAATGAGAGGTGATGATCATTACCTAGTTATTTCAGTGCCAACTTCATCAGTGTTTTTCAGTTTGTTATGGATGATCTTACGCTCTTATTATTTCTTTTCTTTACATGGTCTCAGCTGTTGTTTTCGCGACCAATCACCGAAAATAATTGCATTTATATCATAGATCTGATGAAGTTGCATCATCGGGTGGTGGTATTATGCCTGGCACATCGACAACTGCATTAACAACGATCGACGGAACCAGCAATTGTTCGTTTATTCACTCCAATGAATTAAGTTGATCAAGGATTCTTCAACCAAATGTTATGCTTTGTTCACTTTTCTGTCAAATTTCGCTTCATTCCAGTTGCAAACGCAAATGGTGTTGCTGTATCACATAGCGCGAATAACAACAACAACGTTTCAAGCACCGACGTCTCAGACGACAGTATGGGTTAGTAGAAAGTTGAACCTTTTGTAGTTTATCCGTTCCGAAGATAAATGCTTGAATCGAGGAGGTTGTAAAATTTTGCTTTGGAAATCATTATGGTTCGAGTATATTTAAGAATGAGTTAGTTTTACATTGTTCATGAGTGAAATGAATGTGAATCGTGAAATGTCTGTAGAATGCTCAACTGATTCGTCAAGTATCGATTCATCAGATTCAACCGACAGTACTTCAACTAGCAGCACATCGTCAAACTCAATTCCAACTCCACCAAACTCAAATCCAGCAATTCACAATACGCCGACTCTGTTAAATGTTGCGACCACTACGGATAATATGCAAAATGGTAGGTGTCATTACATATTTGAAGTTGGCAGTTTTGATATTATACACAGTGCCCTAATGATACTGATATTATGAGAACAGCAGCGCTAGCGGTGAATGACGATCAACGACCCATAATACCACCGTTGAATGCATGCACACTGAAAGACAAAATGCACAAATGGTTGGAAGAGAACCCTTCGTCACCACTAACCCCTGATGAGAGTATGGCCGAGCAGCTGGAAAGACAAGTGGGTTGCAGTATTTCTTAATATTGTTATTGTCAACCCATCTATTCTTTTTTATTGATTTAGAAGTATTGTTGTGTTGTCGTTTAAGGTGGATGAAGATCTGGATATAAGTGAGCGACGTGCTGAAGGTGACTATATCGAAATTGAAGCAGAATTGTTACCAGCCAAGTCAATGTTTAAACGGTTCGGTGTAGCGCCATCATTGCTTAATCGACGTTATATCCGAACAAGAGAGGACACAACAAGTAAATATTTCAAAGTTTTCGATTACCTTCATTCGTTGATTGGAAATTAATTGTAACTCAATGTGAGCATGAAAATATCTCTGCTCCATATTTCATACTTCACAGCACTTTATACCATCATCGTTCATTTGTATCTGTCTTCCCTTCGGTGCGACACTCATCAGTCTGGAAAAGTGTCACCCTCTGTTCAAAAGAGTGGATTGAATCCGTCCATTGTTTTAGCGATAAATTGTAGACAATCAATGGATTATTGAGAAATAGTCAAGAGCTGGAAAAGTGAAATATACTGTATGATGATAATGATGGGGATATTTTGTCATTATAGTGTACGTCTTCAGAGTTTGGTTTTTTGAGTTGATGATGTTTTTTTCGATTAACAGAGGACTGATTATTGATTTTTTGATTGCGACTTTAGTGGAACATCTGGGTGAATTCATCTATCAAGTATGTTGTTGTGAAGAAGCAGAAAGTGGTCACTCATCAAATTTATCGACAGCAGCATCAATCTGTGATAACGGAGATGATGATTATAACAGTCGAATTAACGTCAAAATTGATAATGGTGACTCATCAACAGAACAATCAGCTTCAGTCTCAGAAACGACAGCAAGCACAGCTGATTCACTTGATACCTCCAGTCGATCGTCGGCTAGTAATGTTCAACGACCCGAGCATTTTTATGTTTATGTAAGATATTTTTACGATGTTATCATTAATGTACAGTTATCAGTGATACTTTTGCTAGCTTTTTGTGCCTGCAATACTTCATGTATAAAAATATATGTTTGCATATGGGCTCGTGTATTTTGAAAGCTGTTTTATTTGCAGAGTCGTTTCGGTGGCCGAAGTGTAAATAAAATATTCGGTAATGAAAGTGTTCTCTCAGCATTACACGCACAAAGACGAGGTGACCATTTGATGATATTTTTCGATGTAGCGCCGTTGGATCTACACAGCAAATCAGTTCTTGAAGAAATTGTTTATGATGATTTTCTGAAATAATGAGTATTGTTATTATTATTTTTATTTTTATCATTGATCTGTGCTATCAGTTCCAGTTTCATTATTACTAAGTGTCGCTTTGTTTTTTTTAATTTTTATAAATTGATCTGTACATGGTTTTTCACGAAACTGTCATCAGCGGGATATCAACTTTCCCATTTCATCAACATTCTCGTGTGGTCATGATTATTTCGGCTTTAATTTCAAACAGTTATTTCATTGGCTCCGGAATTTCTTCATTGACTGCTTTCATTTTTATTAAGGCAAAATTTGTCTTTAGTTATTCAAGTATGTGTGACTGTTATTATTTTGAAGAATCATTTCGAAAATTCTGTTTTACGCGTATGCAATACGTCTTCGTTTTTAAGTTGAAGTTGTGATTATGAGCGTTCTATGTTATATTTTACTAGAATTTTATTGCTGATTCCACTTTGTGCCGTCATCGTATAAGCCCGAATGTGTATCCCATGGAATACGCAACTTGAAGGCCAATGATAAGAGGTAGAAGGGAGGGGGAGGGGGAGGCAAGAGGCATGCAGTTTGAAAACCGATGATGAAGAAGGAAGATTAGTGGGCGGGAACGGATGAGGAGGAAATGTGCTGCCTGAAAACCCGAATGAGATAGGGAATAGTTGAAGACAGATAAGGAATTAAGGTCATGTAAATATTCGGGTTTTTACGGTATTTGTGTGTTTATTGTTTCGACTTTCGAAAAGTCATCGTAGTTATTTCAAATAACCTATTACAAGTGAAGGTTCATCAGATATGTACCAATCAACTGCAGCCTAAACCACTAACGATATCCGCTTATCATCACTCATCTTTGTCCATGATGAGAGTTGCACGATGTAGTCACTGCCATGTCCGTAGATCGACCAACCTATTTGTAGATTGTGCTTTAGTAATTGATGATTTTTAGCAGTACATTCATGTTGCTAGCCCTCGCGTACTGTGTAAACGTGATGCGGAACGTTAGAGCCGATTTTCAAGTTTTAACTGAATAATTTTAACTGGTTTTCAATCTGTCCGTTTTCAATTCTGCTATTTAGCGCTCAGTAGTTCATAGTGTTGGACTCACAGGGATTTGTTGGCGGGCTTGGCTAGGTTAGCAGGAAATAATATTTGCCGATCTAGGAGGTAGCCATGATCGCTCTCTAACGATGTTTGTTATCATTGTGTCTTCTTTATTTTTACGTCTTCTTGTGTTTTCTGTTTGATTATAATGCTTAATGTTTCTATTTTTGATTGATATTTTTCATTGACATATTTTCCCTTTTTTATTGTGATGTTTAATTTAACGTAAGTGAATCTTAACCGTGAATGGCTCATTTCTTAATTATCATTTTTATCATCTTTTTGCTCTCATTTGATTGTTTATAATTATCATTACTGTTGTCCCTGTTACCAGTAATACTGATATTATCATTATCATCATCATTTCTTATTGATATCACCGTCATTTGACCGATCATTTTTTTAAGTATTCATTCGTTTGTTTTTTTTTTCAGTTATCACAAGAAGTGAATCTCTGTTTCTCTAATCTATTCACATTTCCTAATTGTTGATATTTTATTTTGCTTATATTTAAAATGATTGATAGATGTCGATAATTTTCTGATATTATTGTTATTACAATTTTGCTGTATTTTTTGAAGTTTGTATTCGTGTCATTATGATAGGTTCCATTATACAATTTATACGAGCTGCTTTTTTGTTATGATATA